ACTTGCCTGGGCACCTGGCGCATACTCACCCCTGGATTTTCAACAAATCCCTCGGGGAGCCTTCAGGGTTTATTTATCCCATGTATGACGTATGACGTGAGATTGCTCCCAGTCTGTTTTCTTGCACCCCCTGCTCTCTCACACACACAACAACAATTAATTAAAGGGAATAAAAAAATGTATTCCCTCTTCTCTAGCTGCCCTTCTTGCAATCATTCTCACATTTCTTGCCACTGCCGTAACAGGTCATCTTTGTAGTTCTCTCTTCTCTGCTGCTGGTGGATTTCTCTGTAATTCATTTGTTCACATGGGACCAGAAATTCTCACTCTTGGCTGCTGGAGAGCTTTAAAAAAAAATACCCAGGTCATGCTCCCACCTTGAGATTGCGGTTAATTTCATCTGGGGATGGAGTCAGCTCATTCTTATGTGCACTGTGAATTTAGAACCATTCATTTCAACAAATATGTTTGGAGCTCCTTAGGGATACATCAGCAAACTTTTGTGGGCTTAAGTTCTCAAGAGGAGCAGACATTCCAGTGGGAGAGGGTTGGGAGACCCACTGAATGAGAGGGATAGATCTTGAAGGCAAAGGATTTTGTTTTATTCATTTTTGATTCCCCAGAGTCAAGACTTAACAATGTGTGTTTTCAACCTTCTCATACTTTGCTTACATTTCTTCTTTATTCATCTCACTAGACCTTCAGTTCCATGATGAAAATGACATGTCCAGCTTTCTCTCTGTCCTTTGTCCCATGCCTGTTCCAGTGCCTGTCACACACTAAGTGCTCTAACAGTACTATAATGTAGGAATTGAATTTTTTTTTCTTCCCTGTATTTGTTACAGCAGCCTAGGTGTCAAGAATGTTACAAGGAGAACAGTATTAACAAATCCCTACAAATAAACATTTAGAGAGGCATCGTTAACCAAGGGGGTACGTAACGGGTACCTCGACAGCCATTTCACCGGCTGCGTGCCCTATAGACACTCAGTAAAACACCACCAGCCTCAGAGAGCCTGTAAATTCCTCTAACCAGAAGGGCTCCCCCCGCCCCCTCTCCCCGCGCAGCTTGCTCTGCCCTCCACCTCCTCCTCTCCGCCCACTCTCGCCGCGGTCTCCTGGTGGCGGCGGCTTTGTCTCGTGGGCTGGTCCCTGACGGCTCCCTCCCCCGAACAGCTGCCACCCTAGGGAGGAAGCGGTGCGGGAGCTGTCCAGCACCCTGGTGCTGAAACCCTGAGCGCTAGTCATCCACCAGCACCATGTAAGGGCCATGAAAAGGGCTTGTCCTGGCGCAGCGCGGACATGGAGGAGGACTTATTCCAGCTAAGGCAGCTGCCGTGAGTATCCTGGGGCGAATGAGAGGCAGACAGGCTTTCCTTTAAAAAATGGAAAACCTTCAGGGGGCATCTCTGCATGGCTTCTTGAATTTAAAGGGGACCGTTTCAGAGGAGAGATTTAGGCCTGGAGGAGACAAGCCATTTTCCTACCCCAGCAGCCCAGCTTCTGTATCTCTGACTCAGTTCAATTTTTCAGATCCGTCAGAATCTTATGGGGGAGCGACGGGTGTTATGCTTTCCTTTTTAATTGCTCTCAATACTAGAGGGATTTTGAGGTCCGTGTTTTAAGAAAGCATTAGCTGCCGTTTTGAAATGTGGACTGAATTGATGAGCCTGTGTGATGACATCGGTGCTTTCCAGCCTTTTTCCTGTGCTGTGAAATTCCTAATTTTTTGCAAGGTCTCTTGGAAGGTAAAGATACTTATGTTGCAAACTGGTTTCTAAAAAGCTTGGATTCCTTGTTTGAGGGGAAGCTTGGACAAAGTCCTGTTGTTTATGAAGTGTGTGAATGAGAGGGCTGTGCACTGTCGCTTAAACCTCTTGCCTTCTTCTGAATGAAAGGTTTTTGTAACAGCTAGAGTGAGACGTGCTGTGGACAGCTATCCTTGGGAAATGAGGGATATACCGCTCAGAGGATGGGGATCTTTAAAGGATACCAAATTTGCTCTGAAAATCTTGGGAGAATACAATCCAGAGATAGGAAGGACAGGGGCCTTAGAGAGAGGGGATTATTAATTTCTCCTACCACAAGCTGATAATGATTTGTTAAGCAAATTCCAAGAGTATGAGATGGGGCATTAAAAGGAACATTTCTGGGGATTTTGCTGCTGTTGTTTTCATTTTTAGAACTGCTAGCCATTTGGTTTATAAAAGTAGACACCATTTGGAATTGTTGGCAAGGATAAATTATTGTTAGTATAAGTGTATTTCCTTGAATTGCCTTTCCCCCCTCTCCAAGCCACTAAGGAATTCTCCCAAGTGACTTTTGGTGTGACTGAGGTTGTGTGTGCTGAAGGGTATTGTAATGTTTACTTCTCAATCAATGTAAAATGAATTTTCATTTTTAATTTTTAATTAAATTTTATTTTTAAACTTTTATGAATTGATACACATATAACATAGCTTATGTAATATAGCACTATTTCATAAATGCTAAAGGATGCTCAGTTATAATATCCAGAGGTGGATGTTTAAATACACAAAACTATAAATATCTGAGCATAAAGCTCTGAAAGAAAACATAACACCTTCATAAAAATAACTATGTTGAGAAACTAACCTATTCAAAATAAAAAAATACTTAAAATGTGAAATATGCAATTCAGAACTCAAAAGAAGAATACAAATCTATATTGGGACTGTAAGTTTACTGGAATAAATTTTCAAATAATATGAGCATATACGAACTTTGAAAGTTACTCAAAGGTTCAAGTATATCTAAACTACTAACACATAGCCAGGCCATTATTGTGACTATTTCTTCTTCAATAAAATGGTAAAAATAGTATGAGGTTTTTACTGATGGAAATTTAAAAAATGTTAGTATATACATACATAGGGAAATAAAGTTAAAAAGGAGCAAAAGAATGAAAGTAGATGTCTCTTTCCAACCCCTAGTGTTAAGTTTCTTGATTATTCTCTGATATTTTAAACACAGAAATATGTGCAATGTCTATCAGAGAAGCCAAACTGTTCCCTGGTTAAGAACAGTGACTCTGAGTAAACCAACTTGGGCTCACCTGCTGACTGTGCCCTTCCTGTCTGTGTGACTTTGAGCAAGTGACAAATCTGAGACTCAGTTTCTCTAGCCATGAAATAGAGTTCATAATAATACTAGATTCATAGAACTGTGTGAAGATCAGATGAGACAATGTATGCTAAAAGCCTGGTTGATACAAAATACTCAACCCATACTATTAATGGGATTTACAGCTGAAAAATCATTTATAAATACAAAATGTATAGGTTCCCTATCCTGGACTCCCCACTTTTAATTAGAAAACCCCAAATTCTGTTGGAATGAAGTCAAACTTAGCCTTGAAATGTGTTGACCTTGAGTTATAAAAAAGAGTCAAGTGGAAGGAACAGCCACATGACTCTGAGTGGGTTACAAATCACGACTTGGATGTTTTTTAAACCACACCCTGGGTATCTATGCACAGATTGCAGGGAGCAGATTTTTTAAGAGCAAAATGGTTTTTTAAAAGTGTGCCTTGTAAAAGATTGGCAAGAGTGGACTTTGGAACTGGTTCAGTCCCACGGGAGAACAAGTGTTAATAGATTATAAGCCACTAAGTAGTTTACAGGGTCACAAGAGGGAGGAACGGGGCTGAGGTTGACTGAGAAAACAGTCTTTTCTTGCAGTTGGGGCCGCGTCTCACAATTCTAGGGTAGTTCATTTGAGACCACAGGTAGCCAATGCCTTTCACCTGCTGTCTAATCAGGCAAAGCACCAGGTCCAGGAAATACAAAGATTTGGTATCTAATTCTGCCTTCTTGTGTGACCTTGGGTAAGTCAGACTTTTGGGTCATTCCTTTCTAGGATAATTTCTTCAAGGACAGTCTGCAGACTACTTTGATTGTTCATTCACTCAACAATTTACTTGGGACATCCTGGGTACAAGGGATCCTACCGCTGAATAAGATGGACACAGTCCTTGCCCTTGAGCAACTCACAATGTAGTGCTGAGCTGGTCAATACAGCAGCCACTCACCACATGTGCTTTATTTCAGTGTAACCTTCCCTGATGTACTTTGAATATGAAATACTTTATAGACTATAAAGTATAAAATAGCATTATAAATAAAATATGTGAAATTTGAAAAATCATTCCCTTAGTGGCACTAATCACATTTCAAATCCTCAATTGTTACATATAGGGAGTGGCTACCTTCTTGGACAGCACAGGTCTAAAACAGTCCATCACTCAGGAGGTTCTAGTGGTCAGCACCAGTCTGGTGGAAGAGGCAGATGTCGAACTCATGATTGCGCAAATCATTATGAGAGTTCTCTGAAGTGCTAAAAAGCACAAGCACAATGGGACTAGTTTTAGAGATTTCCTTGATGAAGGGATGATGGAGCTGAGCCCCCAGGGATGTGTAGGAGTCATCCACGGAAAAAGATGGGATATGGAGAATTCCAGAGAACTGCATGAACAAAAGCCCTGAAGTAGAAAAGAGATAGTTGTGCATCAAAATCGTTCCAGTGGCACATAGTGAACAAGTGAGTCAGAGGAGGCTGCAGAGAGTGGTAAGGACCAGACCATGGAAGGTCTTGTAGTTGTGACAAAGAGGTGGGACTTCATCCTGTGTTTGCTCAGTCCACTCTCTCTCCTTGCTTACAAACCCTGTCTTTCAAGGTTGCACTTAAGTCTGTCACCCCAAGGAGCCTTCCTCTGACTTCTGGCCTTGACCAGTAGCAGGTGGAAAGTGTGGATTCTTAGTCAAGCCCACCGGGGTTGCCAACTCCGCTTGTCATTGGTGTGACCGTGGACCTGAGGCTGGAGTTTCTCCGGAAAGTCAGGCCAGGATCTGCATGCTGTGAGCATCTGGGACACCATCGCTGGGACACTCAGCAGTGTCTGGGTTCCAGGAATCGCTCAACTAGTGATGCCCATGTTATCTGTCTTCCTCCACTTTGGCTTGTTTCCCTTGCCCTTCAGCTTGCTCAGTTGAAGGACAGTCGTGGTCTCCTTCAGAATGCTCAGGTGTCCTGGTGAAAGCACCTGTTCAAGCTCCAGCTCCTGAGCTTTCCTTCACGCACTCCTTTCAGCCTCCGTCATCTCAGGTAATGGTAACTCCACCATTGCCTTTGGACCCAAATGCTAGAGTCAACACATCTTTCTCTTGTATTTCACTTCAATGCATCAGGAAGTCCTGACCTTAGGCCACACGCAATCTCCAGCCTGGTTCAGGTCCCCATCCTCTCTCAGCTGGGTGCAGGTGACCGTCTTGGTTGCAGTGGTCATCTTGCTGGTCTCCTTGCACTATGCCGGCTCAACAGCTTGTCAGCTGAGTTCACCTTGACAGCTCAGACTGATCTTATTTCATCACATTTGTCCTTTTGCTTTCCCACCCCCTCCCTTTCCCAGGGAGGCTGGGAGAATGCCTTTGGACTTACTGATGACCTGACTTGAAATTGTCCTAGGCAAACTCTTTGGGTCACTGGCAACCCTGGGAGGAATTGATTTGTGAGTTCTCAAGGTGTTAGAAGCAGGTTTTATTTCCTCCAGTGAGGTAACCTCTGCACCGAGATTCAGGACCAGAGTAGGCAGCTAAGACACGTAGGACTTCTCCTGGTCTCCATTCCTTTGGGACCCAGTGGGGTTAAGGGGGAGGATTCCTGGCCAAAGAGAAGGAATGGGGGTTGTCATCCAGTTAGGGCAAAAAGTAGGAGATTATTGTAATAGCCCAGCCTCTTCAGGGCTAAGTCACTGAAGTCTTTTAAAACCCCAAACTCAGGCCCTCCCTGGTGGCGCAGCAGGTTAAAGCACAGCACTAAGAAGCTAAGCCGGCCCTCCCTGGTGGCGTAGCGGGTTAAAGCACTGCACTAAGAAGCTTAAGCCACTTCTGCATGAGTTTGATCCCCGCCTGCCGGGGAGGCAACCACATGGCGTGGCAGACCTCTCCTGACCCGCCCGCTGCTCCCCTCAGCAGTGTACTTCGTCAGTCAGTCGGCCTTAAAGATTTATTCATTTATGCACACAGAACTAGGGTACAGGCCAGAGGTAAAGGGGCTGTGAGAGGCTTCACCAGAGACAGAGTGAAGAGCAGGACAAGCATATCGACAAAGTACAATGCTGAGGGGAGCAGCGGGCAGGTCAGGAGAGGTCTTCTGCGCCATGTGGGTCACCTCCGGGGCAGGGATCGAACTTCCACTGAAGCGGTTAGACCAGCTTGCAGGGCTGCATCCTAACCCTTTGCAGGGCCCAAATAAATAAATCTTTAAAAAACAAAGCAAAAACCCAAACTCAATGTCATGACAGCTAGCTTCCCCCTAA